TCAGCTGTTGGTGCTCTTTCAATGAATATTATGCGACAAAGAGTAGAAGAAAATGATGAATCTCAAAATAATAATACTACAGCATATAATCAAGCAATGCTTTAAATACAAAAGAAAAATTGAAAATTTTCATATTCAGTATTTTTTATTGTACTATTTATTTTCAATTATATTTTTATCTATAATTCGAAGAAGTTTGATGATCCAGTGAATTTTTTTATACTGATTTAATAATATGTACAATTTCTTTTATACAATGGTTTTTTATCAGTCATATTTGTAATATTATTTTCACACATCATATGAAGGGCTTGATTTAACAGTGTAATATTTGATATTAACAAGTATTAATTAACGTATTGCTGTAGATTTTATGAGAAATAACTTTAGTAAATATTTCTTGAAAGGATTTAAAGAGCTAACAATCGAAATGAACAATATATGTGTATGAAAATTTCTTACATATCCAATACGTTGTCAAGAATAATAGCAGTAACTAGTAGTTTTGAATCATTTAATTTTTGCTTCAGTGCATGAAAACAGAACTTTGTTGGCATTCGTTTAACAAGTGAATAGATGGAAACATTTAAGTTGATGTTCCTCACCATCAAAAAGTGTTTCATATTTGGACACTATTAACATCAAATGATGCAACACTGACGTCATCATAGCAAACAATAAAACACGCTGAAACATCTGCTAAACAAATGCTACATTTACGAAGAATATTTTTGCTTATTATTTTTTAAAATAATAAATCGTAAAAGTACAATGTCAAAGTTTTGATAATAGATATACTATATTAGGGTTTTTTTTCTTCTTCATGTTAATTACAACAGATTACATAATATCGTTTTACTATTGGATGTAGCACAGAAATGTTCATTTGTGAGAAATATTTCTTTTTTTTTGTTTATTATTCAATCAAGCGATGTGTTATCAATACATTGTGATTTCTAATTTTAATAATCTCGTTATTTCGAGAACAAATTTCTGTTTGTCATGATTCAATGTTTTACATATGTATGGGTTTACTGGCCAGATCATTAACAATGAGAAGAAAAAGAAATCGCTAGAGAGAGAGAGACAAGAAGAAGAGAAAGATAATCAACATGTCTGTCGATTTGTTGCCATCGTGAGCGCAGCAACCAAACAAACATCTATAATGTATTGTATTGCCGGCCACATCGATTGTCTCCTCGGTTACTTTCTATGCGTTTTTTTTTATTCTTCTTCTTCTTCTTCTCTCTCTCTCACACAAACACATCAGCCACGTCCGTCCGTCTGCAACTTTTCCTGCTGCTGCGATGGTGATGCGATATGTGCGCGCTTAGTCTTTTCTCTTTTTCTTTTTCGTTTCAGTCGCCGTTGCCGACGTCCTCTAACAACGCACACACAACACACTCTTTCCATTTACATCCACTTCATCTTTTCTCTCGTTTTCTCTTTTTCTTCTCGCTTACTATTTAAAAGGAGAAACTCAGTCCAAACTTGCCTCTCATTCTTTTCTCTAGACGTATAAATTTGCTCGTCGTCGTTCCTCGTCGATAATATATCCATACACACACTTTGAACATTAACTACTCGGAAAAAACAAAGTAAAATTTGTTAATTAACAATGGAAAAGCCAAGAAAAAAAAAACAAATATTTTATTTCAATGTTCTAGATGCGTGAATGTATTTCAATCCATGTCGGCCAAGCCGGTGTTCAAATTGGTAATGCTTGTTGGGAACTTTATTGTTTAGAACATGGTATTCAACCCGATGGTCAAATGCCATCAGACAAAACCATTGGAGGTGGTGATGATTCATTCAATACCTTCTTCAGTGAAACTGGTGCTGGAAAACATGTACCACGTGCTGTTTTCGTCGATTTAGAACCAACTGTCATCGGTAAATAACGACACATAATCAAATAAAAACATATTTCTATGAAACTCTTATTATAGATGAAGTACGTACTGGTACATATCGACAACTTTTCCATCCTGAACAACTTATTACTGGAAAGGAAGATGCTGGTAAGAATAAATTTAAAAATATATTAGTAATGAGAGATGTATTTTATAGCTAACAACTATGCTCGTGGTCATTATACAATTGGCAAGGAAATTGTTGATCTTGTACTTGATCGTATTCGAAAATTAGCTGATCAATGTACTGGTCTTCAAGGTTTCCTTATTTTCCACAGCTTTGGAGGTAAGTCTTCAATTAAAATGGAAAAATTTATTTCATATGTAATTCTTTTATTTTTTTTCAGGTGGCACTGGATCAGGTTTCACATCATTATTAATGGAACGTCTTAGTGTTGATTATGGTAAAAAATCAAAACTTGAATTTGCCGTCTATCCAGCACCACAAATTTCAACTGCTGTCGTTGAACCATATAATTCAATTCTTACAACACATACAACACTTGAACATTCGGATTGCGCTTTTATGGTTGACAATGGTTTGCATTGAATTGTTAAGATAGAAGAAAATTTTATTTATTTTGATAAATATTTTTAGAGGCCATCTATGATATTTGCCGTCGTAATTTGGATATTGAACGACCGACATATACAAATTTAAATCGACTTATTGCACAAATTGTTAGTTCAATTACAGCTTCACTTCGATTCGATGGTGCACTTAATGTTGATCTTACTGAATTTCAAACTAACTTGGTACCATATCCACGTATTCACTTTCCTCTTGCTACATATGCACCAATTATTAGCGGTAAGGAAAAAAATTAATAATTGAGAGAAAAAATGAACATATTCTGTATTCTATTATAGCTGAAAAAGCCTATCATGAACAATTAACAGTAGCTGAAATTACAAATGCCGTTTTTGAACCAGCCAATCAAATGGTTAAATGTGATCCACGTCATGGTAAATTGAAAACATATATTATGTTGAAATCTATTGAATAATTCTATAGGTAAATATATGGCTTGTTGTTTATTATATCGTGGTGATGTTGTACCAAAAGATGTTAATGCAGCTATTGCTACAATTAAAACAAAACGTACAATTCAATTTGTTGATTGGTGTCCAACTGGATTTAAAGTTGGTATTAACTATCAACCACCAACAGTTGTACCAGGTGGGGATTTAGCTAAAGTTCAACGTGCTGTTTGTATGTTATCAAATACAACTGCTATTGCTGGTAGGTTTTTATGAAAGAAAAAAATAATTGTATTAAAAAAATAACTTTTTTTTCACAGAGGCTTGGGCTCGTCTTGATCATAAATTTGATTTAATGTATGCTAAACGTGCTTTTGTTCATTGGTATGTTGGTGAAGGTATGGAAGAAGGTGAATTTTCAGAAGCTCGTGAAGATTTAGCTGCACTTGAAAAAGATTACGAAGAAGTCGGTGTTGACTCAGTCGAAGTATGTTTTAAAAAGAGAAGAAAACTTCGTTGATGTATTGATAATATTTGTTTGTTTTTAGGGTGAAGGTGAAGGTGAAGGTGAAGAATATTAAACGGACAAAAAAACTGAATTCTCTTAAAACAGAAAAGCACAGCAACAATTGAAGATTTCATCGAACATTTCAATATCTTATTGTGTACTTTTTCTTATTTGCTTATGTATCTTATATTCTCCACTAGTTTGATAACAAGCGAGAGATCTTTATAATTCAATGTAATTCTTTTCTTAATATTCATTATCTTTTTTTCTCTTTTGTGCTGCGCGGCTATGACAAAAAAAAAAAGAACTTAATAAACAAATGATGCACTCTACTCATAATAATATATGATGCAAAAGTGATGGGACGCATGTCTGTACCTTATTCTCTTGAATAGAAAGGTGCTGAAAGAAAACTTAATTTACTACAGAAATAAAATTTTTGTTTTCTATTTCAAATCCTGTAGAATTTAGTTTTAGTACACGTGACTGAATGAAATGTTACAGGAGACGAAAGAGACTCTCACAATGATTTGCATTTGTGATAAAATATAGTATAGCGATGCAAAGTAGCAACCCCTATATTTCTTTAGTAAACACGTGTTGTAAGAATCATTTTTTTATTTGGGAACCACGAGAAATCCTTTTTGTATAGTTTCTCGCAGGTTTTTTCTCTCTTTCATTCAGCATGATTATCTACTTTTGGAGTGTTTGAACGTTTTCTGATAATAATTGATGTTTTCTTTTCGTAAGTTATGACTGATTGTTGATTGATTAAAGTTGAAACGCTTAGTTAATGTACGCTGATTGATACCACGACGGTTATCAGCACACTTCATCAGTTGATTTAACTTTTGATTAGAAAGTTTCACTGAACTACTACTTTGTAAAAAAAATTAATGTTCATCATTTTCTCACTTTTCTTTTCGTTAATCATCCAGAAATACAATTAGGAACTAGTTAATATATTGTAATGAGCGATTATTGATTTACGGGCGTTGATGGTCTCTAGCTAACGTCTGATATGGTCTTTGGGGCACGGAATGGATAAGTGCGAATTTCTATCCTATTTACTTCAACAGTGTTCTTAGATCGTCTTTGAAAAAACTTTGATCTGTCCATATTTCCAATATACGTTAAATATGTTATAAATCGTTTGTTTTTGAAATACATTGCTTTATAAAGTAACTAACTATTGTTTTATATGATTCATTCGATGAATGAATAGAAAAATTTCAGATTTTGTTGTGCGTGTATTTCTCTTTATTGTCTGCCATTTTGTTTATGAATGTATAACACAATTTAGTGATATGTAGTTCGAAGAAGGAAAAAATTTCCTAGCAGCTGATACAAAAAAATGAGTGTTCCAACGCATGTTTACAATAGAGATATTAAGGGTCGATATTTTTCATCGTTATTCTACATTATATGAAATGTGCGGATAATTGAAGGGTGTTTGTTTTTCCTTCTGCAAGATTCCATTTATGAAAGTGCAGTAAAAATAAGTTCTATACGATTCAAATGAGAAATAGGCTCCGATATTTGTTCTATTACGTTTGCATCATATGTTAGAATGCTTTCTATAACTAGAAAAATCGATGTTAAGAATAATGTGATTTATTTCTAGAAAATTTTTGTAAACCAAATGATGATGATATTTGTTGTCGCCGATCATTATAATGACTGTAATTTGTATTTTTTGAATATTTTTTTACATAAGTACCAAATGGTATTTCAGGATTTTTTTCGATTAAACATTGATCATTCGTTGAGAAATTATATATTTGATTGTTATTATTGTTATTATTATTTTCATCATCGGATACATTTTCTGAAAGAATAATAAATGGTTTTCGTCCAGATGATTTATTTCTTATTGTTGAATTTAACTGATATAATCGAGTATGTGCTGGTGATGTTCGTTCACCACTAAAAGTTATTGCTCGTTCGTCAGCTTTACTACTATTACTTTTATTTCCTTTTAATATATCATCATCAGTATATGTTTCTCCATGATGTGGAGTCCATTGAGAGAATAAACTTGGTGTACCAGGTGCAGCAGCATTAGAAAATTGTTGAGATATATATGTTAATAGACCATTTGCGACAGGTGGGTCTCGTTCGATTGCATTTAAATAAGTATTTCGCTGTAGTAATGTATTTGGTGATCGACTTTCAAACTGAGACCGAGGTTTTTCATGATTTGATTGTTGTTGATCACCGAGGCCTATTGAATCGAATTTTTTACAATCTAATTCGTATGCATTTCGTTGTCGATTATTGAGAATAAAATGTGAAGGTGGTAATGGAAGATTATGATTACTATTATTTATTTTTTGCAGATGATTTGTTCGACTTGATGATCTAATTAATTGACGATTATTTATGTGACATTTAACTTGTGAATTTACATCAACATGATGTTCATCATGATTTACTATAATGAAGAAAAGCTGTAAGCGTAATTGCTGCGAGACTAATATGTGAAACACAATGCAGCTGCTATTGGTAATCATAGAGATATTTTTTTATTCTATCTATTTTGAGACACATTTCTTCACCTATTCTTAATCCTTTAGAAATACAATAGGAAAGGTATAAGTACAATATAACAAGACATTATTCAAATGAGTAATTGTAAGTTTTCGGTACGATTGACACAAAAACTAAAAGTAAGTTTAAAAATATTTCTGAGTAATATTTTTTATTATATTCTATGCCCATGCTACACAACAAAAGTTTCCCGACACTTTACCGTATATGAATCGGGACATGACTTATTTCACTGTAAGCATAATATGAAGAATGTCATTTTAGTGTAAAACAAAATCTGGTTGTAGTCCACGGAAATTCTATGTATGAAACTTCAAGTAGAATAAGTTTTGAACATGACATGAGTTCAATGATATAAGATACATTCCATGTCGACTTACTATTGCTTGAAATATCATAGGAAAAATGTTGTTTTACAAACTGCAGTAATTCACGTTACATCATGTGATAAAATAATATTTTAATTCAGAATCTATGCTCGAAATAAAAATAGAGTAAATTTCTATCATAAAACAAATCAAATGGTGTATAATAACGGATGATCGAAAAATTTTTAGAAAAACACTCTTGCTTTTCTTCAATTTGTAGGCAGACGAAGAAAATTGAAAAATAAGATCAGTCTACACAAAAATGTTCCAACATTTATTATACAGTAATTCGAATGAATGAACATAAAAACAAAGAAAGATATATGAATCGACAGAGTATTTCAGACTCCAAAAAATGGGCTATTCCATTATCGTTCTTTTTTGCTTCGATTCTCAGAAAACTTCACTTTCTAAGCCCACCTCTCTATAAAGTACACGTCTCATAACTCAACGACAGTATGAACTAAAGACCTGGAATTTGGTGTAACAATAGAAAGCTTCAAAAAGAATAACATGTAAAAAATTATTCAGATCAGTGGAGAGAAACAGAAGTTATTAGCCAAATACAGCCAAAATCTCAATCGTACCGAAAAGTTGCAATTCACTCATATATCATCTGTGATCGTATATCAATGTTTGCCATGAGTCGTCACGACTGAGTCACTAACTAGTTCAGCGTGTATTCGCACGGTCGTACATTAAAACCTTGATAGGTACCATCACTCATGAGGTAATCCTTGAATAGTCGTTTCGGATCATTCATCCGATGTCATGCTGACTACGTTTTGACATTCGCTTACTCTTGTGGTTAGTTAAAGCGTATGAGGAGCTCAGGAACTATGTGTTAGACCAGTCCTCCTAAGCAGGCTGAAAGGTAGGCGTATTCTTCCTACGTTGGTCCCTGTCTGAGGTGGAGAAGGATTCAAATTGTTACGCCTATACTTCAATACCTCTTTTATATCGTGTTTCACAAATATCAGAGAATACTTAAAAAAAATACTTTGTTCCGTTGGATCAGGTACAGGTGATCGAGATTGATTTGGTTTAACATCAATACTATTTTCTGATGTTGTTTTTCGTTCATTGTCTAATGAAGAAACTTTTCGTTGTTCTAGTTTAACTAATGTATCATTTATTTTTTCCCAATCATATGGCTCATCATCATAATAGCCTAACCGTTGAATAGATGAAATAAATAACGATCGAAGAAATTCATAATCAGGTTTATCTTCATAATGTAATACTTTAATATGTTCCAGAAATTTATTGAATTCATCTGGTAAATATGTTAGAAAACGATTGTAATCATATTTTTCCTTAAAAAATTAAATAATTCAGTAAATAGAAATAAATAAATAAATCAAACAGACTTTTATATGGCCAACACTTTCTTTGTCTTTTATTTTAGACCATGGTAAAGAACCAATTAGAAACTCAATTAACATATAAAAAAAACTCCATAAATCATCATGTCGTCCTAATTCTCGATTATTATGTGCATTGATTGAAGCATATCGAATAGTTCCTTGGTGAAAAAAAAAAAGATAAAAATATTTTTCTATTTGTATTTTATATAAATTCGACAAACCTCGAAAACCTGCTTCAATTCGAGCTGGTCGAACATGTTGATCATAATCTGTATATTTTCTAGCAAGACCAAAATCAAGAATAAATATATGTCGTAAATTTTTTCTTCCGACAGCAAAATTTGATGGTTTTATATCACGATGAAGAAAACCAATTGAATGAATTGATTCAATAGCATCTAAAATTTGTAAACTTATACGAAGTGTAGTTGATAATGTAAAACATTGTTCAGATAAATTTTTTCGTAATTCACTTAAACTTGAACCAAGTAATGTTATAACCATATAATTATATAATGTTGATGTACCACCAGATAATAATTCACATACGTGTTTACGATTTTGTATACGTCGTAAAACAGTTACTTCCATTCGAATACCTTGTCTTGCTTGAGAATTTGATTCAACTTTAACAGCAACTAATTCTCGACGTAATTTATCATATGCTTGATAGATTTGTCCAAAACCACCACCACCTATTTTATGTGTCACACGCCATCTTGATTTAATTAAATCACCTTTTATGAGAAGATCAGAATCCGACATTCATTCAATAAATAATGAATTAATGTCAAACTTCTAGTCATTGATGTGAAATATAGTTAAGATTCATTTATAGAATATTTTCACAATTGAATAGTTGTTCTGTATATTTTTTGTCTGTTTATAAAAGATTAAAAATAGATGAAACAAATCAATGCTGAAAAAATATTTATATTCATATTTAGTTTTTGGAATTTTACTAAATATATCGGTTGTTTGGCGCTTTGAAATTAGTTCTATTAATATATGTTTTAGCTTACATTAGAATGTTGTTTTATTTCATGCTGTCATTGAGCAGTACTAATTAATATGGAGATCTATGGAAGTTAACTGTTATGATAAAATATTGATTTCAATGAAGTTTTAACTTTGAAATGTACACGGTTTTTAAATACAACTATTTACTATTGGAACATAATGGCAATTCTGTAGTCTGTTGGTCTAGACATTGATTGTGATATTTATTTGTACTACAATTATTCAAAAACCGATTACTGATAAATAAGTCCTCACTTTATATTTGTTCTTTAGCAAATGGAAGGTTCACAAGCGTGAATCGCCAATCGAACATATCTTTCATTCTTATGCAGGGCTCGTCGAGACTAGAAGAATCTTTCTGAAGTCATAGCTATTACACTGGTTTGGCGATCTCCGGTCAGATATTAGCTGAAAAATTGAATAAAGTAATATGCACTGTACCTATAAAGAGGTCACATAGTCAGTAAACTGTTCTGAAAGTTTCAACCGAAACGGATGATCCTTTTAGAGACATTGAATGTTGAGGTGTAATTTCAGGAGAACTCCGCATGAGGATGAATGTTTTCTTGGGGTCTTCTAGTCTGGACGAGACCTATATATGAATAAAGTGATGTGTTCAGGGGGCAATGCATACTTAGGAACCTTCGCTCATAAGAGAATGAGTAATCCAGACCGTTCTTTCATGTTTCTCGTCGATGTTTCGAACAGACATCGAAAAAAAGGCTTTTCTGATGAATGTGCATATAACAATAGACGACCGTTTACGATTCTGTTCAATCTTAGTATTCAACTGGCACTAATGAGAGAGCTTCCTCAAATCATAAATTGCTTTTGTGCTGAGTCTTATCTGATTATTTTGAGTTTAAACGTTGTAGAAATTGAATTGTCCATGGGAATTGTTCATTATGAATATGTCCGATAGTTTTATCTCCTGTCTTTATGTGTTAATGTTGAAAATTCTGCTATGAGGAAAAATAACAGTCTACGATGTATGACACTTTTACAATTAACTAGTCTTATGGAGAATTTTGCCTGCGAAAAATTCGAATTTTGAAAGTTGATTTTGAAGATGATCTTACGGGAAGATCATGGCATTTTATGGAAAAAGTCATTAAAATTGTCATAACTGAGGAAAGATCTAAGAACAGAAGGCTTTCTAGGCCTTCTGTCGCCTCGATAAAATACACCTAATTAGATAAAATTCATCTCAAAAGTAATATTAAAATTTGTCAAGATTTTCTCGTGGTATGTCCAAAGCCATTATTCTCATGTGACACATATTTCCATCAGCACCGAATTGTTAACAACTATTGTTCATCAAGTTCGTTAAATTTTGTTGTATTGTACTGCAAAGATTGTTTGTCTTCTTTTATAGAATTGAGTACAGTAACCTTTTATTAAGTATATATTTTAATTTTTTTCTAATTTTACTTCATAATTCCTATATTCAATCACAACCTTTTGTACTTCTTATTGTAATATAAATCCTTCGTAAAAAAAAAAATACTAAGTTTTGATGAATAGAATCTAATATATTGTGTATGCACACAGCACAACAGTGAGGGTGAAGATAAATCTGTGATTGAAAAGGATTCGGATTTTTGGTATTCTGCTTTGGACATTTAGTTATCAAATTGAAGTACAGTTTTCATCTTCAATATATCTTTTCTAATATCCATTTTAAAATACATCTATAAGTATTATCTAGATGTTTCATGATTAAGTGCTCATACACGATAATTTAATTCACTTATATTATTACATCTCTATCGATTAACTCAACAGTATCACGCTAAAATGCTTCCATTTCTCCATTTTCTAATTCAGATAAATATTTAATATAACGTCTTGTTTTCAAAAAAATATTTGCTTAGTTACGAAAACAAAGATTTGCATTTGTAAGCGTTGGTTTAGATAATAATATTGCTTGATTTAATTCATGATTTACATAACAAAAACTACACATCGGTTGAAATCCTACTTCTTATTTGACCCACTGAGTACGGGTGACAAGAATTCGCGTTCTGAGATGGTACGCTAAGAATAGTCTTAATAAACATTATGTATTTACAAATCATGTAATCTAAATCCGACAAAACTTGTCAGTAAATCGTTCGCTATAATGTACGCAATGTCGGCAGACAACCGGTAGTAGTTTGATACTTAAACGATTGGCCATCATGTGATCGTCATTTCATTACAGTATATCAATAGTTATTCTCTGATTGGCAGTCTACTGCCGCTATATCGGCAGTGACACAATTGAACGTTTGGCATCAGTATCCAATGAGAATGAAATACATACGTGTTTACGTTTATGAAATTTGCTCGAGTCAGGTCAACTTGTATACTTTCAATTGATTAAGGTTTTAAAATTATGTTGAATATTTAAATACAAAAGAAGTTGCTCAAGTGACGACTATAAGATTACAAGAATTTGTCGAACATTGAAATTTCCATCCATTAGTTAATTTATATGGAATAAGCTATGCAACAGGAATGGCTTCATGTTACTCTTTCGTTTCGGTACTAAAAATACCAAAGAAATTTTCATTTAGCTCTTTTTTACTGTTCTTATATCACACTCAGTTTCAAGAGACAATGGCATCATAAATGATTTAAAAAACGGTGAAAATAGAAAGAGAAACGATAGCTATTAGCTAGTGGGAAAACGGCTCGTAAAACGGACTGACAAAGAAGGTCCAAGCAGGCTCATTTTTTGAAGATCTGACTGCCTGTGATAGGCCTACAAAGGACACTGGCGAATTTGGTGACTTACTTAAAACCATGTATACCGCGTTTTGGTTCTAAGTAGATCACTAAATTCGGCAGGGTCCTTTATAGCCTACCTGCACCAATCATAAAATTTCTTCGTCTGTTCTACCTGCTTGTCTACTTTTCTTTTGCTCTAATATCATGATAATAATAAAATATATTCAACTACTAATCTCTATAGGAAGTTCAGAAGGTCAATGGAATGACTTTAGATGATCCAAATCAGAACTGTCTAATTTGAACATCAAAGAAAAAAGTAAAAAGTGCTTATTATAAAGAAGTATTCTTTTCTTGTATTTTGATCATATCGCGTAAGGTTAAAAGAAGGAAAAAAATTAACTTCAGGAAGCTTATCGTAGCAAAACGTATTCATATTTCACAATAAGACTTTCACCCAGAAGTGATCGATTTTGAGCAGAAACACTCATCGTGAGACTAGATGGTTCATTAAGATGAGATATTATTATTGTTGAGATGTTGAAAGTTTAAGTTTTTACCCGGTATTCAATATACATTGAAATGTGTAGATGTATAGGAAAATAAAGGAATAGAAAGGTATTTCTTTTGGCGAAAAAAATTAATTTTTTGTTGTAAAGCATTTTAAATGAATTCAATAGACAAAATGTCCCTCTTATTAATACATGCAGGAGAGAAAACGTATACAACAAATACGAATCCGACAGCAGAAAAATACGGTTCGGTATCAGCTGAGTTTACTAGGATTCAACAACGAATGATAGAATATAATGAAAAATATCGAGAAGAGCGATCTTAAATTGATAAGATCGACAGATTATTCTCCAGGCATAACGTTGAATCTTTTCAACTAAAACTTCATAGATTTTGATGAGAAAATTGTAGTGTGTTTAAAAATAAACCATATTATACTTGCCAAAGCGGTGTTTAAACATATTTCATATTAATTACTTTGTATTCCACAGTAATTATGTAGTAATAGAAGTATTTCTCATTAATGAAGCTATTTTGACATGTGATCCATTTATCAATTAGAAAAAGTTTTAATATTCACATAAATCTAGTCAATGTTTAAATGCTGATTCATAACCCGATGTTTATTTTTATTCAAACCGTATATTTTCTCATCAAAATATTAGTCCAATACACACTGAAATATCATGTCTTAGAATCAATCTTTCTAGAATGCTTTACAGTAGTCTGTGTTTTACGCCGATGTTTTCAGAAAAATTTGTAGTGCAAAAAAAATCGATATCAAAATATATTAACACTTGTATGATCGACTAGTATAACGATATTTAAACAAACCTGATTATTATCAAAGGTCGGATATGATATGCATATAGGGATTATTGACTATTTCAAACGATAAGGCTGATTGTACAAACAATCATTTTCTATAGCGTTGTCTAACAGTTTTGCATAGAAAAGAAAAGAAATCTCGCGAGACTATCAGTTTTGTCACTTGTAATGGCTCTTCCTTTCTGCTGATGACATATTCAGAATGATAGTGAATTTTGGTACCTATTGTTTTTCAATATTTAAGTATACATATTCATGTAAATTGTCATATTAAACTGTTATTATTGAAAATTAACTAACCACAATTGGTTTTCTATAAATAATTCAGTTTAAAAGATTTAAATTTTATATTAAAAAAAAATTAGACAGACCAGGCAGCCTGTCACAGGTCAAGCCTAAAAATCATGGCCTGTGCCGGTGACAGACAGGCAGGTCATGTGGCCTCATTGGAGCTCTGCCACGGACTACAGCAAAATATATTGATAATTAATGTAGTAGTATGCTGTTTCCGGAGGTTGGAATGATTCTCTGAGTACTTTAAAATATGTCTTATTCGATGAGTAGCAAATCTAATCTACTCCCATCCATCATATCAATATATGATTAATGACGGAATAATTCTAATGACTCATGCATTGTTCTACAGGATCATATGTATCATATTGGCGAATACTAAACATACTTAGCGACAT